CATTCTAAACATTCTAAACACTGTTTCTGAGATAAATCTTTATTATTATTATTATTTTACCATTCTTTAAACATTAGTTGTTAGTAATCAATAACTATAACATAGCCCTTGGACCAGGATAAAATTCTGTTGTGGATGTATTTGCTTGTAGGTCTCAAAGAATATAAAGATGCTCAAGATATGTCCACCTCTTGAAACAAAGGAGGGTGTCAAGAACAATACTGCTAAAAATTAAGCAGAAGTTTGCCTTAGAAAAGCCTTGAGTATAACAACAAGGGCAGAGTGACATGGGATAGCTGTGGAATGCGAGGAAACAACAGTTCATCTGCACCTTTTTCTTAAAGTCACAAACAAGAACTGTTTTTAGAGTGAGCAGATCCAGTGTATTTTCTGTTCTTTTTCTTCCAGCAATATTCAGTATCATTACTTGACTCCTCTGGGTTTTGAGACACCATTAGATGGCCCTGTGTTGGTTGGCCTTCTGGTCATTCCTCTGTTACTGTTTCTAACCCTGCAGCCTTATTCCCAGTCCAGTCTCTTCTCACCTTTAAGGAACTCACCATCAGTTCTTAAGTGTTGAGCAAATCATCATCTCAAAAGCTCCGTCCAGCCTGACCTTCAGCACCACATTTTCTAGCACTGAACTCTCCCTTCTGTGGTGCATCATCCAAAACTCAACCACCACCCAACTTTTCATGTCCTCCAGACTTTTTGTCAGCAGTATCGTCATTCTCTGTGGGTGCAAATTCAGTCATCTTGCTAAGTTTTAAGACAGCAGAAAGTATGATTGTCTTGTTCACCTCTTAGGGCCTAGGATACACACGGTAAATTTTCAATACTGTTAAAGATTTTTTTTTAGCTTTCACGCCTTAAAGTATTTTTAAAAGAAAGGGTTTATTAGACCATTGCTAGCAAAAAAAAGGAAGACTGGTCTTTGGGCATGGAGTGTAAATCACCAGCCACATGGTTAGGTAGAAAAGACAATATGTCGGGCCAGCCTAGTGGCGCATTGGTTAAGAGCTGGCCTGGGACGCCAGAGGGCCCCATTTCGGATCCCACATATGAGGGCCAGTGACACTGCCCTCTACAGCTAAGATGCTGAACAACAGCTCAACCTGGAGCTGTGCTGCAGTGAGTCGCTGGCAAAAGCGTAGGCTGCAGCCCCGGCTGCACAGTGGGTTGCCATGGGCTACCGTGTGTAGCCAGCAGCCAGCGTGTGTAGCCAGCAGCCAGCGTGAGCAGCCAGCAGCTGCCGTGAGCGGCCGTCCAGAAGCCAGCGATCTGCCTCGCCTGGGAAGAGCGCAATGATGGTGCCAACTTGAGCCAGTGAAGCAACGTCCTCCACAACTAGACTGAAGAACAAAAGGACAGCAACTTGTCTGTTCCCCTTCCCCCAATTACCCAATAAAAATATAACAACAAAAAAAAAGAAAGAAAAGATAATATGTCTGTCATCCCGGAGTTTTGCAAGCATTTTTACACATCACGTTGGTGGGGAGAAACATATAAACCCTACTGAAAGAATTTATATTAGCTATAAACAAAGCACATGGGGGAACGTGAAGCAGTGTTAGTTCTGGGATAGGTACAGCAGACTCTGTAAAACACATGTAAACAAGAAGCGGAGCCTCCTGGGGTTCTATGGTGCCTGGCTATTCTCTCTTTTTAGATAATCTCAGAAATAGCCATCTGGAAATTAATAATTCCAACATACACTAAGGAGTGTGAACAGTCTTTTGTTGGTATTGTCCTGCAGTTGTTCACTGATTAACCCCTTTTTTGTTTTCCTTCCACTCTCTGGACTACTGTAATTTAATTTAGGACATCTCAGAATTTTCTCCTTGTCAGTACCAATTTCTTTTTCTTTTTAAAGATTTTATTGGGGAATTGGGGGAGTGTTGGGAGCCATGCAGGCTGGCTTAGCTGAAGCATAACTTGTTTTGCTTCTTGTTTTGCTCCTTTCTGCACCTGGAGGGTGCTTACTTAACCTTGAGGTATGTGGTGAGAATGGCCAGTTCCTTGGAAGACACAATAAGATAGAGGGCTATCTGGGTTTAGGGAAAGTGTGCTGGGAAACTGACTCCCTAAGGTCCCCCTGACCTTGAAGTTTCTAGTAGATAGATAATGATGTACTTTTGAATGAGGTAATGCATATTTGTCCCTTCTGTTTTGCACGTACCCTGGATATATATAATGATGAAGGAAAATAAACTCGAGGCTGGTTGCTAAGAATGCTTCCAGTCCTCCTGGACCCTCTTTGTTTCTTTGTCTCTTTGTTTCCTTAAACCTCGCCCCCCACTTCAGATACTGTTCTCCGGAACGCCGAGGCAGGACCCCGACAGGGGAGAGGAACAGTGTTAGCGAATTGGGGAAGGGAACCAGCCAAGTTGTTGTTCTTCAGTCTTCGTTGTGGAGGGCGCCAGTCATCATCTGGCTGCCTATTGGCAGCTTGTGGCCTCTAAGCTCAAGGTGCTGTGTTCAATCTTAGTTGCAGGTGGGCATAGCTCACCATCGAACAGGCAATCTTGTTGCTACACCAGCTGAGCCACCCTGCCACCTGTTGGCAGTTCAGCAACAGCTCACCACAGGCGCAGCATCACTGGCCCATGTGGGAATCAAACTGGCGGCCCTGTTGCTCAGAGCTCATGCTCTTAAGCCAACTCTTAACCAACTGAGGCACTCGGCTGGCCCAATACCAATTTCTTGAAAGATAGAATCTTGCCTCACCCATCTCTCTCCCCAACACTAACTATCACTTCTTCCTTCATGCCTTCCCTCCTTTTCTGGTTCCATTAGAAAAGGACTAATCCCATCAGTTGTGTCCTTTGTTTCTGCTCTACTAATTCTGTCAACAGAATTTTTCAAAACACTGGGCTAAAGAGAAGGGGGGAAAGTTGGTCCAGAAGGGCCTAGCCCGACTGTTCAGAGCTTGAATCTGCTCATGGTGGTCCTGTTAAAAACATAGTTTGAAGCAATTCACCTGTTTACATCCTCCTAATCTGTCTACTGCCCACCCTGTCCAAAGTCCCAATTCCCTTGCTTCAAATTTTAAGGAGCCACCAAGTTCTTAAAACTATTCTTCTTGTCTTTTATGTAAGTCAAACTGATTTATTTCTCAACAGCTTTTCACATTTTTCCTTCTGGATTCCCCCCCCCCTAATATTTTATTGGGGAATTGGGGAAGGGAACATTGTTTTTCCAGGACCCATCAGCTCCAAGTCAAATTGTTGTCCTTCAGTCTTAGTTGTGGAGGGCACAGCTCAGCTCCAAGTCCAGTCAGCTGTTTTCAATCTAGTTGTGTGTGTGTGTGTGTGTGTGTGGGTGCTGCTCACTAACCCATGCGGGAGTCAAACCGGCAACCTTGTTACTAAGAGCATGCACTCTAACCAACTGAGCCATCTGGCCGCCCTGCAATTATTTTATAATGTTTTTCTTGTACCTGGAATATTCTCTTCCGTTTTAAGTCTTACCATCCTTCAAGGCATAAAATACGTCTGATCCTCTCTGAAGCCTTTGTGAATTGCGTGAGTATTCACTGAGCAATCCTGGCTTTGAACTCTTGCAGAACAACCTGTTCCTTTACTTGGAATTAACAAATGCCAATTTGTATAATTTACATTTTTATGCTTATTTTTTCTTCATCTCTTACGAATTTCTTTTATCCTGTGTCAAGCACACACTTTCACAACCAGAAACTTCATTATATGTTATGATAAAGATGCGTTTTTTTTAAATAAAATTTTTAAATAACTTAAAACATTTTTCAGTTAGTTGACATACAATATTAGTTTCAGGTTTACAACATAGTGGTTAGACATTTATATAACTTATGAAGTGATCTGCCAGATAAGTCTAGTGCCCATTTGGCACCATACAAGGTTTTTACAATATTATTGACTATATTCCCTATGCTGTACTTTTTACATCCCTGTATTTTTATAACTGCCAATTTGTATTTCTTAATTCCCTTGCCTTTTTCATCCAGACCCCCAAGCTCCCCTCCCATCTGGCTACCACCAATTTGTTCTGTGTATCTGAGAGTTTGTTTTGTTTATTCATTTATTTTGTTATAGTTTTATTTTTAAGCCAAACCGAATCCCGGAACAATGTTAATTAAATCAATTGAATGAGCACTATGTTTAGGGAATATTCCTTTCTAGTAGTCTAGGGCATTAGAGAAGGGTAGTATATACTGGTAACTTTATAAAAAGGTCCTTGCTCACAGGAAACTAATTAAATGCCTTCCTGGCCAAAGAGGCTGTTTTTTTGCCAATGACGGTGCTTTCTGGGTAACGCCAACTCAATTCTTACGTTTTTGCTCAATTTTTATGTTCTTGTTCATTTTTAAGATTGCCACGTCCATGGGCCAAAAAGGGGCAGGTACGTGAGTCTTTCGGTATTGAGTGCCTAATACATACATATTTTTAATGGGAATGAATGCATATATTATATAAACAAAGATAAACATTCTAAAGCATAAAGGGAAAAGTAACCGCTGTTCTATACCCCGCCAATCTATTTCTCCAGCTAGAACATTTGTATGCTTCCGTGTACAAGCCTATATTGTGCTATTTTTAATCATACTTAAAAAAACACAAAAAACCCGTCTTGAAATAACTCATTTGTACACAACTCCAGCTGCTGGCAGTATGGGCTTAATATATCGCACAGCTGTTAATTTTGGTTTCTTTTTTTGGTAGCAGCACTTAGATACGCACTTGTCCGCGGTTTCCACCGCGGTAGGAAAGTGTAAACTCAAGAAATACAAAAAAAAATGGCACAACGGACAAAGAAGTTCTAAGAGTCCCGCCAAACAAAGCGGCAGCATCCCCGGCCGCGGCCGCCCGGGCCGTTCGCACACGCCAAGCCCCCCTCCACCCTCCCACCTGCCGAGGCCGCAGGGGGCCGCACGCGCCGAGCTCCCATCCCGCCCTCTTTGCAGAGGCGGCCGGGCCCAAACCGCTGCCCCAGTTGGCGGAGGCGGCGGGTCCTGGGCGCGCGCGCGCGCGATTGTGTGCGCGCGCAGAAGCCCGGATGGATCGTGGCTTCCGGCGCGCTCCCCTCGGGCTGTAGGGGTCGCGAGTTGGCTGTCGCTCGGCCCGCTCTGCTCCTGTTGGGGCATGTGGGGGCCTGCATGTATAGGGAAATGGACCTAGGGCTGCCTGATGGGTAGCCCTAAGCCCTCTGACCGAGGTCCTGCCGCTTCCGCCGCCAGGAACCTCCTTCTGCGGACCTAGTAAGTTCGAGCGCCCCATTGGCCTGGGCCCCGCGAGTGGAATAGTTGCCCAGGCCCAGGGTATAGGGCTCACTCGCGCCCGTGAAAGGAACTGGAGAGCTGGGGGACCCCCAACCCACTTCTGGCCCGGGAAACCCTGCTTGGCGAGGAGCAGGTCGGGCCGGGAAGCGCGTGGGCAGCTCAGGGTTTGATCTGCGACTCAGGTCTCCTCGCTTGCTGTCGTTTCTAGCCTCTTCTCGACACGCAGCCTTTGTGCATTTTGTGATGGGGGGTGCAGAGCACCTGGGTTTCTTCTGGTTTTGTTGGAAAGAGGCGAGCTTGTAGCCGCCCGGGAGGAGGGCGGAGTTTCGGGCCCGCATCTCTGGGTAAGGGTCATGTGGGCAGGGGACGCTGCATCTCTAGGTAAAGGTCATGTGGGCAGGGGGCGCTGCGGAGCCCCGGGCCGCCTCCCACGTGGGGGTTGGAATAATGACAGGTGCCTGCTCTGTAGCCAGTCTGAACTGGGTGCCGAGACTGGGCGAGATGGGGCTGGTTCTGTGGGCAGGTTGACTCAGCTTTTCCTCTTGGGCTGGTCAAGTTCGGACACGTTCCGAGTCTACAGAAAAGGGAGCTAAGCCCTGACTTGTCTCCAGCTGGGGCTATTTAAACCATGCCTTTTCCCAGCTGTATTCACTCTGGTTACAGGCGAACAGCACTCATTCTGTAGTGCGGTAAGGACCCACTTGCTAATAAAGGCATTCTTTAAAGGTATTTATTTCCTTTCTATATGATGTCTTTTTCACAGATGTTTCATTGTTTTAAGTTTTTATCGTGTTTTTTTTTCCCCCCCTACTTTAGGCAAATGTGCAATACCAACATGTCTTTGTCTCCTGATGATGCTGCAAGCACCTCACAGATTCCAGCTTCGGAACAAGAGACCCTGGTTGGTATTTTTGTCTCGTCTAGCTTTTAAAAATAATTTACTTCATGAGGTGATCAACTAAATTCTGTAGACCCTCCAATTATAGCATGGCACTTTGAAATTGTATGTATATAGCTTAAATTCTGCCACTCAGGCATAACTATGTGAAGTAAAAGTTAACTGTAAGAATCAGTATTTATTTTCTTAGCTCTTTACCACTAGATTTAAAAATGAATTGCATTACACTCTTAAGCATGGATGCTAAAGTTTATTATGTAACAGATTTTTTTTTTCTGTTCTGACTTGTTAGTATTTAACTTTTTAAACGGTTTCTAAATGTCACAAAAGTAATTTGTACTTGCTGTAAAGACTTTAGGCATTACAGAAATGTAGAAAGTGAAAACTGAAAATTCAAATCTTTTTTGACCATGTCTTGCATCTTTTATGTACCTACCCACATATACATGCACATGTGAATTTTAATCTGTTACCTTCCTATTCTTCTAAAACAAGATTAAACTAGAGGTTCTACAGATAGCATCCATGTCAGTAAATAAAATTTACAGAATTCTTCTTAATGGCTTCATAGTATTTCATAACAGTATACGGTTTAGAAAATTTATGCCTTTACTAATAGCTTTAATTACCTTTAGTTTTTGAGCATAACAAATAGTAATGCTTTGTACATGTATTAAAACAAAAGTGTTATATGTGACTATTTCTGTAGGGAAGAGTTTTATAGAAGGAGAACTCATGGGCCCTAAATTATACACATATTTGATTGCTACTGATAATTTGCTAACTTACCAAAAGATTTTAACAATTTTCACCTCTGTCAACACTGAATATTATCAATCTTTATTATTATTTTGCCATGTTTTTTGGTAAAAGGTATCATTTAAATTTGTATTTCCCTGATCTCTGTTGAGGTTGGCATCTTGTCAATAGTTAAATCATTTGTTTCTTCTGGAATTTGCCTGGTCTTAACTAATTTCCCTTTAGGTTTTTTGTATTTTTCTTAATAATTTGTAGTACTCTGTTTTTCGAGTATATCTAACTTATTTACAAATGTTGCCTTTAACTTTATGTTGTCTTTTTCCAGTTGAGAATTATGAAGTCAAATTTGTTGACTTTTATTGGCTTTTGAATTTCATATCATGCTTTGGATGAACTCCCATCCCAAGATTATGCAAATAAATTTCTGTATTTTCTTCTAGTTTTTTATTTTTACATGGAGATCTTTATCTGGAATTTATTTTTTTGTTATTAAATATAAGATTAAGAATGGTATCTTTTGTAGTAGTTTTCTTATTAATGCATGTCTTAATAAAAAATGATGGCTTTCATTGCAGATTTTTACTTTGAGTTGTTTAGGAATATAGCATATATAAAATTTTAGGAGAAAAAAATAATATTTTATTTTCTGAGAGAGTTCATTCTTTATTCTGGAAGTAAAGCACATGTAAGCACAAAAAATGTGTGATCAGAACAATAAATGATTCAATAGGACATTTATTGTGTATTTTAAGTTTTCTAGTTATTAAATAATATTCTATTTATTAGCTGGAAGGAGGCAGTTTTCTTAAATCTAGTTTTGAGATTGAAATCCCAAACTGGGATGTTGTCAGATTTCAAAGTTAGACAAAGGACAGGAGTACATTAAAGAAAGGCGCAGAGGTACCAGTCTGTGTGGAAGTGGCAAGCTGTAAAGATACTTGAGTTTTGAAGATTTTGATACAGCAGCAGATAGAGAGAAAGCATAAGCATATTATATCCCTGCCCACTTGCCAGTAGTATTTTTTAAATACCACTTGCAGAGCCTCCAGATCAGGGTCAAGCAAACTACAGCCTGTGGGCTAAATTTGGCTGCCTGCCTATTTTTATAAATAAAGCTTTATTGAAATGCAGTCACACTCATTGGTTTACATATAATCTATGCTTCTGAGTCGTACCATCTGGCAGGCAAAGCTTAAAATATTTACTGTCTGGCTTTTTACAGAAAAAATGAATCTTTGGTCTAGTTGGCTGTCGCGAATACAGATCATATGTTTTGTCTTTTGTGTGTGTGTGCGCGCGCACAATACCTAGCACTGTCTGGTGCATGGTAGAAGCTCAATAAATGTTTGTCGAGTAGGTAATTGAAATGGAGACTAACGCAGTGTGATATAATAGGAAGAAAATGGCGGCTTATAGTTGAGGGACATGAGCTGCAGTCTCAGATCTCTTTGTCAGCTTGGGTTAGTTATTTAAATTCTACATTTTTAGGAACCTATTCTGTAGAAGGAAGAGATTGGTAAAAGGCCCCACACTAAAGATTTATTCTTTTTTCTTGGATTTTGTAATTTAGTTTATAGTAAGCTCAATGGAGTATTCCATTTATTGTTGTGTTTGTAAGGTAGTAAGCAGATGACAAATAGCTGGAAGAAAAAGAATAATTTTCGCTGCGTTGGCATGGGTACTGTTTTAAACATAATGGCAGTTGATGATACTTGAGGAGTCTGTGGCTATTTGCATAATTAAGTCCCAGAATTTTTTCCCAAATTCCCTAGGCAGTCTGTGGTATTCAGTTTATGTAGTCTTACATTTAGTGAAAACATTATGACTCAACTTTTTGTTTTTGTTTTTTTTATTAAGATATTATTGGGGAATTGGGGAAGGGAACAGCGTTGGGGAATCGGGGAACAGACAAGTTGCAGTCCTTTTGTTCTTTAGTGTGGAGGACGTTGCTTCACTGGCCCATGTTGGTATTGTGATCATTGCGCTCTTCCCAGGTGAGGCAGCCGGCCTCTGGATGGCTGCTCACGGCGGCTCTTGGCAGCTCATACCGGCTGCCAGCCGCTCACGCTGGCTGCCAGCCACACATGGTAGCTTATGGCAGCCCACTGCAGCAGGGGCTGCAGCCTATGCCGTTGCTGGCGACTCTTGGTAGCCCAGCTCCAGGTGGAACTGTTGTTCACCATCTTGGCTGTAGAGGGCAGTGTCACTGGCCCCCATGTGGGATCCGAACTGGAGCCCTGCTGCTCAGAGCTGGCGTCCCAAGCCAGCTCTTAACCAACGTGCCACTCGGCCGGCCCATGACTCAACTTTTTGACGTCTAATTTTGTGAGATTGTTAAATGCAGTGTCTGCTACCTTTACTGAAATTGTTTATGTGTGTGTTTGCTGTGGGGCTTAGAGTTCTGTAATAATTTTGGAAGTGTAATAGCAACTCTTTGTTCCCTATAGGTTAGACCAAATGCATTGCTTTTGAAGTTGTTAAAATCTGTTGGTGCACAAAAAGACACGTATACTATGAAAGAGGTAAGCTGAACTAAGAGTTAGCATGATAACTAATGTCTTACTAATTTATATATCCATGGGGAGAAATAGGCCATGTAGGGGGATTTTCAGTAAGAAACAAGTATTGTCGGCCCTTTAGACTATAATTTGAAGCTGAAAATTCTAATTACACTTGAATTTCATTTCTCAGGAACTGAGACAAAGGGAAGCTCTGTAGGTCAACCCACTAGGCAGAATGGTAGTCTTGTCAGACTGCTAATTCCTTCTCAGAATCATGTTTTTAAATGTACGAAATAGAATACATGGAAAGGAAACATTATATTAAAATACAGTTATCAAAGTAGTAAACAAGTTTATAGATTTTTGAAATGGATCTAATAAACATAGTTTTGAAGCAGTGAGGAGTATAATTGATATTTTGAAATGTTTATATCAAGCATAGTATGATAAAAACACTTGTGATTTTTATTGGTGGCAAAAATCACAGGCATTGCTAATACTTTGTTTAGTATAGGTTTGTTGCCTATATTAGTAATTGAAAGAAAAGCTAAATTTCAGTTAAAAATTGGTGAAAATAAGGATTTCTTTTTGATCCAAATTGTGGGGACTAAAAAAAGTAATACTTTTTCTCTCAACTTCTAAGTTCTTCTAGTTAGGCTAATAATCAAATTAACAGACAGCAGATAAGCAGGAGAAAATCAAATTTTTAGTTTTTATGTGCTAAAAACTAAAACTGGTAGTTCACATAAGCATGACACTTCCAAAGACAGTGAAGAAAAATTGGGTGTATATGTCACTTTGGACAAAGAAGGGGTAGGGGTCTGAGATTTCAGAGGAAGTAGGCAGTTGACAGATAGTTGAGGACAGTAGAACATAACATGGCAAGTAAAGTTTTGCTAGGCAACCCAGAAACAGTGCACAGGGGAATCTAGTCAACAGGCTCCCATTTGGAGTCTTCCTGTCTAATGCTGAGGTGATTATGCTAAGATTCCCTTCGGGATGCAGGTTTTTCCCTCTGAGTTTCTTAGGCAGGAACCGGGGTGTGTGTCAAAGATTCTTTCTGAGTCTTTCTTCTTTTTTTTTTTTAAAGATTTTTATTGGTGAATTGGGGGGATGGGAACAATGCTGGGGAATTGGGGGGATGGGAACAGACAAGTTGCTGTCGTTTTGTTCTTCAGTCTAGTTGTGGAGGACGTTGCTTCACTGGCCCAAGTTGGCACCATCATTGTGCTCTTCCCGGGCGAGGCAGATCAGTCGCCGGCTTCTGGACGGCCACTCATTGCAGCTGCTGGCCGCTCACGCTGGCTGCTGGCTACACACGGTAGCCCATGGCAACCCACTGCCACAGGGGCTGCAGCCTACGCCATTGCCGGCAACTTACGGCAGCCCAGCTCCAGGTTGAGCTGTTGTTCAGCATCTTAGCTGTGGAGGGCAGTGTCACTGGCCCTCATATGTGGGATCCGAACCGGGGCCCTCTGGCGTCCCAAGCCAGTTCTTAACCATCGCGCCACTCGGCCGGCCCTGAGTCATACTTCTTAATAATCAACTTAAAATCAATATCCCAAAAGGAAGTTTTGAGGTGGCAAAACTTTGGTTTTCTTCTAAATTAATGGACCCCCTGAATTCTATCCAAGGACTTCTTGGGAATCCATGGATCCCAGGTTAAGAACTTCTACACTAGAGATATATGAGTACATTACTGTTTCTGGGGTAGAGGTGAGCTGATTCATGACATGTTCTATTTAGTGGATACATTTCAGTGTTCTCTAGCTTAAAATTTGTGCACAGAAGCATGATTTTCAGTGAGGGATTGGGTCATCTTAGGCAAAATTTCTATGTAAATGAAATGTGCCTCTTCCCCATCTCTCCCAGTTAGTTTATAGGGCTCAGATTGCTTAAAACACTAATAAAAGTACCTTACCTACATCAGGATAGCGGGGTAAGAAGAGATTTCAGACCGTTTTTTCAGCCACACTTTTATAAAACTTCCTTATGGGTTGTTTGGTAGGAGTCTAGGTTTTCTTCCTCCTTTCCCACTGTCAACCATCTCGGCAGTCCATAGTCACGTAGGAAGTATTTAAGTCTGAAGCCTACTTAGCCAGATAAGTATAGACAGCGCTTGCAGGAAGTGTCAAAGTAAATGATGTTTTTAGGGGTGTTACCTTGGGTTTAACCTTACTACCATTAAATAATCAATAATCAATTAAATAAAGAAGGGATTTAGTGGTAGTTAAAAATAAGAAAATTGATCAAGGCCATCATAAAGACTTAGAATGCTTATGCAAAACCATATAACAGTACTGTATATATTGTCTGGCAGTTTACAGTTGTAAGGTCTTTGTTCTGGGGCAAATGGGACAGTAATGAAAGCTAGTAGAAAGGTAGTAGAAAGTACATTGGACCAGGAGTCAGAAAACTGGGTCAATTTTCTTATTTCTAAAACAGTGATAACAGTTCTATGAAAAATCAGAAGAATAAGACAATACTTGTAAAAGTAAATTGTAAACTGTAGAACGCCATACGCATTTAGGTGGTGGTTAATAGGCTTGTAGGCTTGTATTGAATGTCTTAAAATGTATTGCCTGCTTAATGGAGTATGCAGAATATAATTTATCTGTGTATGCATGATTCAGGGTCATTATTTTGATTATTGCATAGATTATATTGATATCTTTAGGACTTATTTCATTCACTGAATTCTCCCAAACTGCAGAAGTAATTATTTTCCTGTCTCTTCCTCATCTGTGATGACTACAGAGGCTATTGACATGTGTGTATGGTGTTTGGGACTATTTATTAAATGAATCTAGGTCTCTGCTATATTTTATTTGATGTTTTAGATACTGCAAGTTTTTATTGCTATCAGTGGTTTTGCATTTTGCTACCTTTCCCTTCTTCCTAATATGTTAGTACCTAGATATCTGGGCAGAGTTAAGGTCTGGGAAAAAAATTTTTTTTAAGGTTTATTTTAATCAGAAAAGCAGTGTCTGCTTTCATCAAATTAAAAGGAAAAGATTTAAAAGCAGCTTTTTTTTTAATAGTACAGAAGGGTTGTTATTCTAGATGGTTGTGAATGGTTGCTTGTTGTTTAAGCCTTTTCAGATAAATGAGATATTATTGAATGTATTTGAAACTAACATTTAATGTTCGTTAATGCTCAGAAATCATGTTTCTGTTTCAGGTTATATTTTATCTTGGCCAGTATATTATGAATAAACGATTATATGATGAAAAGCAACAGCATATTGTGTATTGTTCAAATGATCTTCTAGGGGATTTGTTTGGAGTGCCAAGCTTCTCTGTAAAAGAACACAGGTAAATTCTTCAGTTTAGTTCATTGTAAAAAGCCAGCTGGGTAAACATTTCAGCTCACCTCCACCCTCACTCCCTTTTGTAAGAGAAAAGTTGTTACAACATATATAATAGATGCTGAAATTTAATTTCTTAGCAATATATATATATAGCATATTGTTTGAGAACCCGAGTTCTGGAATCTTAAAACCTGGGTTTTGGACCCAGCTCAGTCATTTACTAGCTGTGTGACTAGGTAAGTTTACTTAACCCTCTCTAAACCTTAGTTTCCCTTGTTTGTAAAGTAAGGATAATATAAATACCTTATGTAGAGGTTATGAAAAGACATTGTGTAAAAGGCATGGTGTTTGGCACATAGAAAGATATTCAAATATTAGCTGTAGTTACTACATATTAAAAAAATATCACTGTAGTCACTTCCAAAAATCTTTATTCTACCCTGTGATAAAGGCTTAAATTTGAGCTTTAGTTTACTTTGGAAATCATTTTCTTTGTCGTATACCATTATGGTACTTAATCAGTTGATTTAACCCAGGTAACATTTCTAGAATTAGTCTACTGGGAACTGAAGACTGTGTTTTCAGTCATTCTTACCTTAACATTTAGAATACTGTGTCTCGTTTGGTTTAGCACAGTTTGTATGGAGCCTTAGCATCTGTATCTTAATAAATGGGATGAATACTTTTCACATGAAACAATTAACTAGATTCTACTGGTATTTAATGCTCAATAATACAGCTAAAAAGATGGTAATTAAATGGGATATTTATAACTTTAAAACAACTTCATTATTATAAGCATAATATAAATTTATTATTGAACATTAAGAAAAAACAAAACTAAGAAGAATAGGAAAAAAATGACTCTAGTTTGTCATTGAAAGGTATTTTTACCCGTCAGTTTTATATTATGCGCAGATGCATGTTTTAACCCAGTTGTGAATATATTTAATTTGGTCCTTCTTAATTTAACATTATATAAGCATCTTTCTATTGACAAAACCACTTCTGTTTAATATTTATCATTTTATCCTTGACCTTGGGATGTAAGCTTTAATTCTATAAGTTTAAGAAACACCTATATTGCTGATTTTGTACCATTTGAATATTGAATCTTCAATAATGTTTGGAGATACAGTTTCTGATATTGAAAGCATAATATTAAAATTAGCTTTGACTTGAACTCTAATGTTGAGAGGTTAGACACTGGAGAAATTACTGACTGGAAAAAGAATATGAATAGTAATTGGTATGTAGTAGGTTCTCACTATGTATTTATGAAATGAATGAAGACTGTATTATCTTTAATAAACTTTAAGATTAAGAAAGAAAATCCATTAGATAATAGGCCCAAGGTTGATGAAAGTCAAAATTATAATCAAGTTCCATATATTGTGGGTTTTCTATAAAACACTACTTTAGGTAGTCTACTTCTAAGCACAGAGCTAGAAAATTTCTGTTTGGAAATAAGTGCATATATTAACCTGCCCCTGCGTTCGTTCACACCTGTTCTCTGGGGTCCTTTGATAAAACACGGCACATTTCAGGAAATGGAGATGTGAAATCTTTCAGCTAGAGAGACCTTAGTGATTATTAAAAGTAACTGTATGTATTGTGCATTTAAATATGGCACTTTTTAGGGCCTAGAAGCATGATATATAATTTGAATGCAGTGACTTAAAATTTGGTTTGTGTGTAGTAGTTCATACTAATAGTGCATTTAAAAGTTTGATTAAATCCAGTTTAATACATTTTTATTTTAAAATGTACATTTCTTATTTTTTTCTCCCTACAAGGAAAATATATACAATGATCTACAGGAACTTAGTAATAGTCAATCAGCAGGGTAAGTTAATTTTGAATACCATAAACATGTGCCATAAAAATTCTTCAAAGACATTTTGTATATGTACAGTCATTTTAAAATTGTGATTCTTTTTAAAAGGTGCTTTAATTATATGTTTAATTATAAAAGATATGATAAATTTAGCAGGAAGAAATATGTATGAACTAAATATAATACGAAGGTTCTAATGCAGATTAATGATATATAAGGTTAAATATCCTATTACATCAGTTTAAGGGGGGATATTAAAGTTAAAATCTATTTTGAAAGGTAGATCATTTCAGAAGCTCCTATTGGTACAGATGTGACCAAACTTTGAAACGTATTGAAAGGCTTTGGGAAGAAATATATATACCTAGGTAGGACCATTTGAAAGTATGGGCATTTTTTTGTTTGTTTGATTTTTATAATAGACAAAGCTTTACCAGTTTGTTTAGGTAAGTGGCATGTTACTTTTCTACCTTTAGACTTGTTCTAAACTGCTTAATTTTGGGGTCACGTATCCCTTTGATCATCTCAAAGCACTGGGTTCTTAGTCCCGCAAGATACACATATGTAGTTGTATGCTGGTTTAACAACCCACTCTCCAGGGGGAAAACCCTGATTTGTAGTGGTTGCTGATATCCACGCTATGAATACTCCCGTCATGGCCATTTTCAGGCTATAAATACACGGAGCTGGGAAGAGAGGTGCAGTCTGCTTTCAGGTGCCACGAGGAGCTGGCTCCAACTTCCCACAGATTGCTTTCTTTCTTTTTTAGCTGAGCTGTCCTGACACCTGTTGGCAGCTCAGCAGCTGCTCAGCTCGGGGCCGGGAATCTAGCTGGTGACCCTGTTGCTCAGAGCTTGCACTCTTGAGCGAGCTCTTAACCAACGGAGCCACTCGGCCGGCCCCCAACAGATTTCTTAAAGCCCATTCTCAAAAGACGAGAACTGTTCTCAGAAGTTTATTTCCCAGAATGAACTCACCATCCCATTGTGCTCCCACTATTCTATATTTAGATTTTATTGTTATATTGCTTTGTTACACTTGTTTATATTTCTCTTTACTATTTATTCAAGTTTGCATTCTGCATCACACAGTACAGTGTTTTATTAATGTGGTGTTTAGTAAATGTGTTGAATTGAATACTTATTATTCCAAAGTTAGGATTTAAGGCCCAGAAAAGGGCATCATATTCTTATCCTAGAAGTCATTATTAGTCTGGTGACTTGACATTTTATTGTTTTACAAAGCTCTTTATGAAATCAAATGAAGACAAATAAAATAACTAGTATTTTCAGTTTTCTGAAGTATTATCCCTTATGTATTCATTCATTCATTTATTTAAATAAACCTTGATAGATTATTAGGAAAATTTTATTTATGAGATGGTAACTTGAAGATTACTTATGTTATTTCCATTCTGAGTTTGTTTCAGGTTTCAGTTTAATAGCATAAACTTCAGAACTCATATCAATATTCGAAACCTTGTCACACCTAGTGCTTTTATTACATCTGTCTATTATATCTATTATACCAAAACAAAATATAACCTATTTATATGTACAACTTAAAATCAGCATATACCTTGCCCATAATATAAAGAAGAAATAAACTATTATGATAATATATGTGCATATAATTTCAAAATGTTAATGCTGAGGCCTGACTTTACTATTAAGATGAAAATGTCTTCTTGGGAACAGTAAAGGGCTTTTAATTATGATCTTTGGTAATTATATATATCCCATACCTGAAACTGACTTTGGAGCTCCAGGTCTACATATCCAACTACTAACTAAACTCACCTACCTGAATGAGTTTCATCTTCTTGAGTTCATTATCTTTCCATCCAAATGTGTTCGTCTTTACAGTTTCTGTCTTGGTGAATGGTACCATCTATTTATCTACCCAAGGTAGAATGTTGGAATCCTTGACTCCTTTCTTCCTTGCCTTGTAGACCAATTTTCTCTGGAATTGATCTTTTTTTTCCATGCCTTAACTTAGGCTTTAATACTTTTTCATTTGTATTATTGCAGTTACTGTCTAATACTGGTTTGTTTTCTTTCTTTTTTTTTTTTTAATTAAGATTTTTTTGGGGAATTGGGGAGGGGAACAGTGTGTTTTTCCAGGACCCATTAGCTCCGAGTCAAGTTGTTGTCCTTCATTCTTAGCTGTGGAGGGTGCAGCTCATCTCCAAGTCCAGTCACCGCTTTCAATCTAGTTGCAGGGGGGCTTAGTCTACCATTCCATGCTGGAGTCGAACTGGCAACCTTGTTGCACACTGAGCCATCCGGCCGCCCCCTTCGGCAGCTTGCGGCTGCTCAGCTCAAGGTGCCATGTTCAGTCTTAGTTGTGGAGGGGCACAGCCCACGATCCCATGCGGGAGTTGAACCGGCAGCCTTGCTGCTAAGAGCACGTGCTCTCACCAGCTCAGCGGCAGCTCAGCTCAGATGCAACTCAATGCCTATGTGGGAATCGAACCTGCGACCCTGTTGCTCAAAGCTCACACTCTTAATCAGCTGAGCCACTCAGCCGGCCCCTAATACTGGTTTTCTTGCCTCTTCTCTTTTCCTTCTATTTTGCCACAGTGACTTGTCACTCCTGTGCTGAAAATGACCGTTTAGGGAGGGATTTCTTATTGCTCTCTGGATAAAATAACTTGCTGTGCACTAACTAGCAAGTCAGTTTTATCTCTTGGATTAAATCTTTTATGGGGAGTGGCTTCAGCAGTGCCTTAGGGAAGATTCTGAAGTATCAGCTGGGAAGAGTGCAGTGATGCAGGATTGACAACATGAGTGCTGCTTGTGGACATCCTTGTGCTGTTTAGTAAGACATGCAGGATCATTTATGATCCTGCTTACATTCTGGCAGTCGTATACTACCTGTAGTTCCCTGCACCAAGCAGTGGTAGTTCAATTCTGGATGTTTTCTTTAGTACGGTGTTCCCTCAGTCTGGAATGATTTTTCCTAGCCCTACTTCTACATCTATGAAGCCTTTCCTGATTTCTTGTTCCTCAGCTCTGTCCCTACCAAATAATCATTGCTATGCTTCACCACTGATTTATACTTCTTTTATTGTATTTATTACACTTTATAATTTTTCTTATGTATCTTCTGTATTAAAATTGAATTACTTACATCTGCAGAATCTAGCATGAGGATGGCACCTGGCAGACACATATTTATTGAAAAGTTAAATTGTGTAAGGAGTTTGTCCTGAACTGATACCTATTGAGTAGCCATTTCTTTCCTAGTTTATGAATTTTTTGTTTTTGTTTTCTATCAGAACCATCAGATTCAGGCACATCTGTGAGTGAAAGCAGGTATGACCTTGAAGGTGGGAGTGATCAAAAGGTAATCTTGAAATTAACTCATTCTAATATGATGTTTCTTGAAAATTTGAAAGGTTATTTAAAACAATTTTTAGCTTTCTGGTGTTACAAGTTAAGTTGGTGGGTCTTTTTTTCTCTTGAATGCTTAGGACCCTGTGCAAGAGCTACAGGAAGAGAAACCTTCATCTTCACATTTGGTTTCTAGACCGTCTACCTCATCTAGAAGGAGAACAATTACTGAGACAGGTAGGTATATATGAATATTTAATTGTTATTTTTAGAACACCTTTTTAGTGTTCATTCTCTAATGAAAGTCGTTTAAGCTTAAGAAGTTGTTGTGCTTTGTTGGTTTAGATGATTGAATTTCTGCATTTCATTCTCATTTTTGTGATCTATTTGGTTTAAAAATTGCTTTCTTGGTAATATTTTTCTGGTTGACTACAACAGGCACAGTTTACTGTGCCCCTGGATGTTATAGTCAGTCAGCTCTCTAGTCACGATAATAGAGGGCAAGGATAAAACTCTATTTTACTCACCATAACAGTTAAAATATTTAATTATTGCTTCTAATAAGTGATAAAACATACCAATAATAAGTTTAAAAACAAAGTAAATAGCATCTTAGAAATGAAGACAAGATAAAATAGCTGAGAGCATTTTTGCAGAGGAAAGATAATGGAGGAGGAGGTGGCTATTGCCTGATCAGTAGTTATCATAGCTAAAACTGTATGATTCAGGTGAAAGAAGATCAGAGAAATAGAATAGATAAACTCAGATTAGAATCTTGTACATGAGGACAGAGGGCAGTAAGGGCACAAGATGTCTTACTAAATACACGGGACTGGAGCAAATGGTTTGTTTTTTGGGGGTGGGAATCAAGTTATATTTGTAACTTATGCCAAAATGAATTCCAAATATGCCTTCTAAGCATATTAAACATATTTGGTTCTTTTCAGGAAAAAACTTTTATATCTTAAAGTTTGATTTTGATGGAAATATCCTAGATTGTTTGGTTAATGCAAGCTGTCGATGGATTAGATTAATTGTGACTTAATGGAGATAAAAGTTCTAAAACAAGCTTAAAAATCTTTTAAAAATATTGTGTTCTGCTATAACTCTGTTGGATAGATCCAATGAAAGAGTGTTGACTTTTGAAACAGCACTGTTTTTCTCAGTTTAATTTTGTTGGAACTAAATTTAACTACAAGTAGGTACTCAAATAGCTCAATTCTAAATAAATCACAATATAGCAATTATAGAAATTTTATTAACTTGTTTTTCCTTACATATCCAGAAGAAAATTCAGATGAATTACCTGGTGAACGACAAAGAAAGCGTCACAGATCTGATAGTATTTCCTTTTCCTTTGATGAAAGTGTTGCTGTGTGTGTAATAAGGGAGATACGTTGTGAAAGAAGCAGTAGCAGTGAATCAACAGGGACTCCATCAAATCCGGTAATCTTCTTGTTTTAAATAAAATAAGACTTTCTTATTTTTAAAGCCTTAATTCTGGCAGTTCTAATAAGCATTCAGGTAGAAAGCATATGTATGATATGACATTGCTGCTATATATAGTGGTAAATGATTCTTTACAATAAGCCTATACAGATCTACCCTACCCCAACCTCAGGTTTGGGGAGAAGGGTAGAAGGTAGTGGAGTTGCACTGGGTTTGTTTTGTTAAAATTAGTACCAATATTAATAGTTATTAATGTCACCCTACATATTGGAGAACCTTTGTAGGTCACTGCACCAATAGTAAATTCAAAGAAACTGGAGTATAGGATAGTCTGAGAATTTAGAAGTTTAAAAAAAAAAAATACGGGAACAAAAATGAAAATTTGATTTAGTTAGATGTCTTAGGATTCTAAGGCAAATATGTGTTGAATATTTAGAATAAAGATGTAATTTTTTACCACAGCTGTCAGCAAGTAAGTTGGCATAGTCTGAGCTTCACATTTGCAATATGTAGTCTAGACATTAGAAAAGGGCTATTTACCAAGCTGTGAAATGTGGGTATATTTCTATAATATATGGATGACAGATTACCAGTACTTTTAAATTCCAAAGTATTAGCCAGGAATAAATTCACTGAAATGTCACGGAAAGAGGTTTTGTAAAGAAGTTTTTGCTAACAAGAATGTTTGACAAATGGAATTTTTTTTTTGTTACTAACATTTGTCTTTAAATGTTATTAAAATTGGAATATTTATTTGTGATAACGGCCATGCCTCATGGTCATTATTTTGGATATGAGTGATCATTTTATAGATGTAAGGGACTGAACCAGTTGTGATAGTAACCTTATTCTTATTTTGTATGTATTCTTGTTACTTGTATTATCTTTAGGTTTTTCTCTTCCAAAGCAGTGATTTTATGGATACTGATGCTCCCCTTTAAAGTTGGTATTTAATAGAGCTGTTACTTGTGTGAGCCACTAGGTGGCACTGGAGAGCAAGTTCTTTATTCAGTAGATTCTCTATTCAGTAGATCGGTATTTCAGTGTCTTTTCTATGCCAGGTTCCATTTGGCGTTGGAGATACAGTGGTACTCAAGGTAGATATGGTCTCTGTCCTCATGAGTATGTAGCTCATCAGCAATTAAACAGATAATTAAAACATTTAATAAATGCTATGAAAAAAATACAGATTCGTGAAAGCAAATATGTGTGATCTGAATATTGAGTCCAATAATAAGAAATCTTGACATGTACACGAACTTCATGTTTGCATTATTATATTTCTTACAATGCCCCATTAAACTTAGTCTTTGTTGAAATTGTTTCAGCCCTTGTTCTTGCTTTCCACCTGGGACACTGCCTTGTTACCAAAGCAGTGTAGACGGTATTCCCCCATGCCCTTTTTTTTTTGGTTATTCCTATCTTATACTCTCCAAAAATTTCTCTCTATTAAAAATCTTTTGTTTTTCAGGCTAAGTCCCTAGTTGGGAAAGCTTTTGGTAGGGCCAATTTTTTTTTTCTTTTTTCAATTTAGCTTACTTCACATAACAGTTTTATAGTCATCATTTGGTGTTGTCATTTACCAGTTAGAGAGAGTTAAAGGAAAGTGTAGTTGCCTCCCATCTTTTCTTTCTTTTGGGTTTAATAAATTGGGAAACTAAGGCCATATTCTAGACTCTATACCAGGCAGTTGTCATCTCGGTAGCCTCAAACCCTATTTATAGATGGGAAAACTAAGACTTGAGGATTTTAAATAGCTTGTTAAGATCCCGTAACTAATAACTATCACAATTGGAATTAAGACAAAACCAGGGATTTCTAAATTCAAAATTTAAGAACTTTCCAGATCAGGCATGTCTGATGCTTTTTTACATATACAGTATTTGAAAGTTTCTGGATCATTCTTTTTTGAACATTAGCCAGAACTTTTAAAAATAACTTAATATTCCTTTCTTCATAGTACCCTAGCACTGGGATGGGCAAACGTTCTGTAAAGGGTGGGATAGTAACCGTTTTGGGCTTTGCAGGCCATATGGTCTACTGCAGCTACTCAGCTCTGTTGCTGTAAGGCAAAAGCAGCCATAGACGACAGAGAAACAAATTGTCACTGCTGTGTAATTTATAAAAATAGATGGGTGGTGGGCCACAGTTGCTGACCCCTGCCATAGAGGATGCTTTCTGAAACTTAATTTTTCTTGTGTTTCCCCCTATTATTCTAAACATAGTGCACTAAAGACTAGTTAATTGAAGTATCCAGTTTGTTAGGTTACTTTATTAAAGATGTTATTGTAGTTTAGCTTGACTTGTGATTTTAATCTGATTGTTAATAGAGCCCCTATTAGGAATCAGAACTGCAACTTGATGAATGTTGCTTTACTGCTACTTGCTTAACATCACTGTGAAGAAACAGTATTTTGACTTCAGTGGTTATAATATACCTTGTTTATGTTTTTATAAATGATGGAAATATATTAGAGATCATTTAATTCAAACTTCTTTCATAGATGAAGTAGCTGTGGCCTTTACAGGTTAAATATGGCCAGAGTTAAATAGCTACTTAGTGGCAAATCTAGAATAAAAATGTATGTATTCTGACTCCTAGACTTATGTATTTTTTCTAGTTCTAGCCTTCTGCTTTGTGTATTTCCCTACCCTTAGCTACTGACAACAAATATTGTGGGACTGAAGGTCTTACTAGGTAATTATACCATTAATTAGAGACCTAAAATGAAGAATCACATGAGCAGATACGGAATTTTTAAAATTAAAAAAAAAAAAAGTCTGAAAGCTCTTCCAAAGACATTATTCTCCAAATTCATTATAAAATATAAATCTCATAATTATTGTTATAGCTACTAGCATTCTACCTATTTATTAATATCTACCTATCTATTTATATTCTACCTATCTATATCTACTAAAGATATAAAGATGATTAAGACATGGTCTTAATCCTTAACGTGTATATAACTCATAAGAAATGTGTGCAAAATTACATTTTGCATAATTTATGTGTGGAAGTATATAATAAATATCATTAGTAATAAAGATAATAAAAGGTTCAGAGAGCTCTTTTATGGTATTGACAGAAGCTTTGGCAGAAAAGGATGAGCAGGACTTAAAAACTGTCGAGTTATTCCAGTTAGAGAGGGAGTGTGGAAGTTGATGTGCCAAGTTTGGTTTAGCAAACAGTCTAGATCTGGCTAATATTTCATATTTATGGGGGAGGAGAATGTGTAGTTGGAGATTAGCTGAAAGTGTTAATATAGCCATACTGTATGTACCTTGAATGAGAAGGGGGATTAGGCCTTTTTCCTTAATGTAATGGGTTTTGAACAGGGAAAATAATACTAATGCAGTAATGACCCAGAATCTTAATCTAGTGTCAGTGTGCAGGATAATCTGAGGAGAAGTTAGGGACACAGAGATGAGTTAGGAAGCTGTTCGTTAACAGAAGCCAACAAATGATGTACATTGTCAAAATTTTTTTTTCTTTCTGATTTTAGGACCTTGATGCTGGTGTAAGTGAACAATCAGGTGATTGGTTGGATCAGGATTCAGTTTCAGATCGATTCAGTGTAGAATTTGAAGTTGAATCTTTCAATTCAGAAGATTATAACCTTAGTGAAGAAGGACAAGAACTCTCAGATGAAGATGATGAGGTAGTTTTATTCTCTAATTATATTCTCAAGTTTTTCTTTTAACATTTTCCATATTAACTGATCAGATTGAAATAATGTGTTCAGATTTCACCTGAAACATTCATATTAGAATATTGTTTTGTGGACTTGAGGCTTTGTAGTTCCTTGTAGTCTGATTTATATTTTTGTAAATATAATGCCGAGAAGCAAGTAGGCCTTAATGAGCATTCTTATAATAGTCTGTTCGTTTAAAAAAATATTTAATTTAGTTCTCTCTTTTTTTTTTAAGATTTTATTGGGGAATTGGGGAAGGGGAACGGCCAAGTTGTTGTCCTTCGATCTTAGTTGTGGAGGGTGCAGCAAGCTCAGCTCCAAGTCCAGTGCCGTGTTCAATCTTAGTTGGGGTTGGTAGTGGAGGGGTGGAGATGCAGCGCCCCCATCCCGTGCTGGAGTTGAACCAACATTGTTAGGAGCAGGTGCTCTCACCAGCTGAGCCATCCTGCCACCTGTTGGCAGCTCAGCGGCAGCTCAGCTCAGGCGCAGCATCACTGGCCCATGTGGGAATCCAGCCGGTGACCCTGTTGTTCAGAGCTCGTGTTCTTAACCAAGTGAGCCACTTCGCTGGCCCTAATTTAGTTTTCTTTTAATATTTATATATTAAATATATCTATCTGTTGACTTTTTACCATAGTGGGTGAGGATTTCACTGATCTTCATTTTTTCCCCTTTACACTCATTCCATTTGACCTTTGTCTCAATTTCTCATATATAGTAGTTAGTATATGCTATTTGTTTAGGACTTACCACTAAGAAACCTTTCTGGTTGAAGAAAAAAGGTGACAAATTGATGATAATGGATTTATTTTATTAGGTGTATCAAGTTACTGTGTATCAGGCTGGGGAGAGTGATACAGATTCATTTGAAGATGATCCTGAAATTTCCTTAGCTGTAAGTATACATCTGCTTTATTAAGGAATCAAAAAATAACATCGAAGTCAAGATTAGGAAAATATGTCTAGGCTACTTCCTGACAGGAGGTAATTTTTATAAAGTTAAAATCTTTAAAATGTTAATGATTTAAAGCATTTTCGTTCTTTTATTTGTTGTGTTGGGATCTGTTGCTACATTTTAGTTTTTTTGTGCTGGAATTTGAACTTTTAAAAGAACTTTATTATGGAAAATTTCAAATGTGTATAGCATACAGAATAATATAATGTATCTCCAGTGTACTTATCACCAAGCTCTAATAGTTACCAACATTTTGCCAGTCTTGTTGAATATAAAAGTTGTCATATTGATTTGTATTAGAATGTGATAGGATTTGGCATTAAAGAAATCAGGACTTAAACATTTCATACTACTAATATAAAATAATGTCAGCTGCAATTGAAAAATTGAAAAAAAAACTAAAACCAACACCCTATTCCAATACCAAAAAACAAAAACCACATTTCATACTTCACTGGGTTCCTGAGGTATTGAAAGTTTTTTCAAAACTGAATATTATTGCTTTAATTTTTGTCTTAATATTGCCTTTCATTATATTAAATAGGAAATCTAATTTTCTTTTACCGAGTTGAAAACAATTATTAATTATCCAAATGCCAAAAAGGTGAAATTGTGAAATTTTTCAAAAATTTTTTTGCTATATTAGAAAATAATTCAAGTAACTAGTTGACACATTTGATGTCCAGCTGAGTGAAATGTTTCAGATATAGGTCTTGCAAATTTTGGACTCTGAAGCACCTCCTCTTCCCCCTATATTGTAAGACCTTTGTCTTTGGAGGTCTTTGGTTTTATTAGTTAGAAGAAACCTCTTTGACAACTTGAAAGAACCATTGTGGGAGAACGAACAGTCTCCATCCTTCTTGCTCATATCTTGTGTCATTGGTCAGGCAGTTTAAAGATGGTTACATGATTCATGGCAAGACAGGAAGAACCTCTTATGGCAAGTTTTACATGTACAGTGTCCTCAGGCAAGAACCATGCTTCAGTTACGGCAGGGAGATAAGGATATGTTTACTAAAGAGGCTGGGGATGTGAAGGGAGTTTGTTATCCAAATTGCATGGTGAAAAGATTTGGGAAATAAGTTGGGATAAGGAAAAAGCAATGAGCAGTTACAGAGATTAACACAGAAAGGCTAGACAAGAAAGGCATACATATTTTGGCTAGTGACAAGGATGACAGATTTTAGCTGGCAGTGATTGTTGAGAAGAATGTTTTAGCATTGCCTTTGTGGGTGAAGTTAAAGAATACTCAGCTGAGGGCTGGCCCAGTTGCTCAGTTGGTTAAGAGCGTGAGCTCTGAGCAACAGAGTCGCCGGTTCGATTCACACATGGGCCAGTGAGCTGCCCCCGAGCTGAGCTGCCAACAAATGGCAGGATGGCTCAGCTAGTGAGAGCACGTGCTCCTAACAACAAGGTTGCCGGTTTGATTTTCGCATGAGATGGTGGGCTATGCCCACTCGCAACTAAGATTGAACACAGCACCTTGAGCTGAGCAGCCGTGAGCTGCTGACGGGCGCCCGGATGGTGATTGGACTTGGAGCTGAGCTAGCTGCGCCTCCACAACTAAAATTAAAGGACAACAGCTTGACTTTTCCCCTTCCCCAATTTCCCAATACTGTTCCCCTCCCCCAATTCCCAAAAAAAATCTTAAAAAAAAAAAAGGTACACTCAGCTGAGCCTTGATTATAGAGCGCTTGTGAGAGAGTCAATGGCAGATTGAGAAGTAGTTTCGTCTAGATTGATTGGGTGGACTCTAGGCACAGTATCCAAGGTTGAGCCTTTAAGCAAGTGGAGTGGGTACAGGTCTCATTACAGAGTAGATCAATCCCATAGCACTTGCTTCAACTAAATGAACAAACTGTATCTGTGTCCTCGAACAGATAACTTTACAGGTGCATAGTTAAGCTCATAGTGAATACATTTGTTTGTTTTAGTATTCTTCAGAGTTTAGCTAAAAAAAAGAAATACCTAACAATCTCATACTTGAGGAAAGACTGTTAAATGCTGAAAATTGAGCTGTGTGATACATTTTACCTTAGACATTAAAGTTGCTGGTGTTGAATGACTAGTTATTAAAGGGTTGCAGAGACTAACTCTGTCTTATTTCATTGAAGGACTATTGGAAGTGCACTTCATGCAGTGAAATGAACCCTCCCCTTCCACCACATTGCAACAGATGTTGGGCCCTTCGTGAGAATTGGCTTCCTGAAGACAAAGGGAAAGACAAAGGGAAAATGCCTGAGAAAACCGAACTAGAAAACTCAACACAAGTAGAAGAAGGCTTTGATGTCCCTGATTGTAAAAAAAATACAGTGAATGATTCCCAAGAATCATGTGTTGAGGAAAATGATGAAAAGATCACACAAGCCTCCCAATCCCAAGAAAGTGAGGACTACTCTCAGCCATCAACTTCTAGTAGCATCATTTATAGCAGCCAAGAAGATGTCAAAGAGTTTGAGAGGGAAGAAACACAAGACAAAGAAGAAACTGTGGAATCTAGTTTTCCTCTTAATGCCACTGAACCTTGTGTGATTTGCCAAGGTCGACCTAAAAATGGCTGCATTGTCCATGGCAAAACAGGACATCTTATGGCATGCTTTACATGTGCAAAGAAGCTAAAGAAAAGGAACAAGCCCTGCCCAGTATGTAGACAGCCAATTCAAATGATAGTGCTAACTTATTTCTCCTAGTCTATAAAAGTAGGATTATATATTTCTAACTGTGTAACTCTGAAAATTTAGACATGAAATTTTATTTTTTTACACCGGTTAGAGCCAAAGCCTAATTGCGTTACTACATGTTGATTTGTTTTCTCTAGTGTAATATTTCCTACTTTGTAAGAGGGAATAGTTAATATTTATTTTCTTTAATGAGAATTTCACTTCCATTTATATTTTATATTTAGGTTTTAATGTATTTTGGATTGAATATATAGCTCATCCTTTACCCCTGCCACTCATATTTTAAATTCCACTTACATGAGAAGTATCCAGTCTTTTTTAAAAAAGTACTATCCGTGGAGTATTTAAATGTAACTTATTTGGTACCTTTCATATAAGGAGAAAAAGTTTGTGAAACATTTAATATTTAAATTTTAGGTGCTCTTAAACCTTTCATCACATAGCGTCTTAAAATACTCTTGCCAGACGTAAAAGAAATTGTTGGGTAAGCAAAATTGTTATTCTCCAGCTTCTTTGGTATAGTAAAGAATAGGTGGTAATGATGTTCATTTGAGAGGTCTTTGAGAATCGCCATCATTTACCCACAAGACAAAACTTTTTAAAGGCTACCTAGTACAATATGGAATTGTCCTAGGCATCTAACCTATATATCAGGCCCTTTTCCACACCTAATTTCAGGATGCAGTGCAATCTGTTAAGTTGAAAAATTGTAAGACACTTTCAAGTGCCTTCCTGAGCTAGGTCACATGGTTTCTGATAGTTACTTAGGTTTCAGATCTTTGCTTAAGGCAAGTATTAGAAGCCAGTGAAATCACAAAGACTAATTGAGAAATTTAATAAACAGAAGGACTGTTTGTTTTTAAAATAGTTAGAAATGTCACAACTTCGCTATATTGTCTGGAAATAACAGATCACTTTTCTTTAAGAATGATAGGGTCAGAACATAGAATTCGAAAATATCATACTGCACAGCAAGTTTGTGTGCCCGTTACTAATGGTACATAAAAACAAAACTTACACACACATATATGTCTTACACATATACATGTAAGTAGGAAAAAATGGCTGAAGCAATCAGTACCTTATCCAAAGAGTGGTCTTCAAATACAGTAAAGCTTTATTAATTTGGGATTTATAATACTTCAAGTATAGAAGTAGAATTGATCCTTTCAGAGCAGAATTATTAGTAAAAATGAGATTATGAACATTTAGGATATGCAGTAATTATGCTATTTAGAAAACATTCACATGTGCATCATTTAATATACATAATTAATTGTAAATTTTTGGGTTAGTATACATAAATTTATTGATGTGTGAATAAATGATTATTAAATGATTAAGCATTGTTTCAAGAATGTGATTATTGGATCTTATAAATTTTCCCATAATGAGTTGTTAAAATAAAAATTATATTTGAATATCACCTTATTTGGGTAATCAAAGGCATAATACAAACCTGAACATGCTTCTGTTTTTGGAATGGCCGTGACTGCTCACTTTGGAAGTACACATATCAGTGGGCAACTTGATGCAGTTTGAGAGCTTCCAAGGTATTAAGTAAAGCCAACTTGAGAGAATGATGTTACAATTTAGTAGGGCCACGAAATGCTTTTTCTCCCTATCTTGTTCACTTATGTTACCACATGGCAGGCTGGCTTAAATGGTTTCTCAAGTGATATAGTGAACTAACTGGTCTGGAAGGGATGTTGCTGGGGCAGGGAAGGGAGTTAGGGCTAGCCATCCTGCCACTTGTCAGCATGAAGAGCGCTATTGTAATTGCTTGTAATTTCTATGCGTTATCTATGAAACTAAATTCCATAAAGCCAAGAACCTCTTCTTGATTGTGATACACGTACATGTGTACTCAATAAGAATTTATTGAATGAATCAAAGCATTGAGACTTGAGTCTTGAAGCTGCCTTTAAAGCAGGAGCCTGTGGGCCCCAAAGCCAGACCAGGGTTAGCTGTTGGCATCTTTTAGTTTAGATTTTTATTTTTAATAAGGGTTCTAAAGATAACTGGTGAGTGTAGACCTGTAGACAGCAACTGCAAGTTATACAGTGTATTGTGAAAAGTTTGTTGCACTTTCTGGTTGTTTGGATTCTGAATCGGGTTTTAATTTAGTATTTACAAAAAAAGTATTTCTTCAGTTTAAAATACCAATTGTTTAGAAGTTTGTGGCCATATTATCTATTATAAAGCCAGCTTTCAATTATATATGATAGGGAATTTTTGACATTTACAAATGAGGCTCTAAAAAGAGAACTACCTAAAAGCACCAGTACTTTAGAAGGTGCTCAGAAGTGTTGAATATGTTAACAAATTGTAAAATGGACTGTTAACGGGATCTAATAAAAACCAACAGAAAACAGGATGAGCAGTGTGAAGTGACAGCAGATTGGAGACTTCCCACATATTCAGTAATTAACAGGTAATATTTTTGGAATGATAGATAAAAATATTGGTAGAATAGTATTGTTTTGGATAAGAGAACCACAGTAGATTGTTTTTCTGTTTTTTCCATCACTGTCATGTTAGGTAATATTTCACTTACTTTTCAGCTAAATTAGAGTACTTACTTGTGTTTGTTTTTGATTCATGCATTCCCAGGCCACACTCCATATTAGGCCTTTCTCCAAGAACACAGTGACATCTGCCTAAATTTACTTCACTGCCTTTGGTTTCCCCCATTTTTGGGTCATTTATAATTTACATATATATATATATATTTTTTTTTTTAAGATTTTTATTGGGGAATTGGAGAGGAACAGTGTTGGGAAATCAGGGAAGGGGAACAGACAAGTTGCTGTCCTTTTGTTCTTCAGTCTAGTTCTGGAGGACACTGCTTCACTGGCCTATGTTGGTATTATCATTGTGCTCTTCCCGGTTAAGGCAGTCGCTCTCCGGCCATTGGACGGTGGCTCACGAAAGCTCACGCCCGCTGCTGGCCAGCCCCTCTGCTGCCTACACCGTCACCATCACTGGCGACTCTTGGCAGTCCAGCTTCAGGTCGAGCTGTTGTTCACCATCTTAGCTGTTGAGTGCAGCGTCACTGGCCCCCATGTGGGATCCGAACCGGGGTCCTGCTGCTCAGAGCTGGTGCTCCCAAGCCAACTTCCTAACCAACGCGCCACTTGGACGGCCCAATTTATAGGTATTCTATGTCACCTGATGTAAATTTTGGAAAAAAACACTTAATTTTATTGCTTGTTGGGCATTATCTGAAATGTTCTGCCTGATCATTTTAGGCTTTTAGAGCTCTATAAAAGTAGGTGCTTTCTTTTCACTGTTCTCTCATCCTTTTTAGTGCAATAAAGTTCACTACCTCCTGATTTTCCCATGACTTTATTTTCATCTTGTGGAGTGTTAGGGGCTAAATTCAAGTAGCAGATTTGGTACTGGCTTAGTGCCCTTAGAATTAGAGACAAAGAAATGTATGGAGCCTAGAATGGGGTCTGGCAAGTAGTAAGGACTTCTAATAAGTGGCAGTTGTTTAATAATATTCTTGCATCCACTCTTGACTATAACACCTCCAAAACCCAGCTGAGGTAACCTTGAATTAACCCTATCATTTTTCCTATTTTGTCTCAACTCTGAGGTACTTCTCTTTTTTTTGGGGGGGGGGGAGGGATCAAACCATTTTAATTGAGAACCTTCGGGGGGAGGGTCGAAGGGCTGGGAGTACGATAAGATCTGATGTCTTCGGTCGGCCTCTTCAGCTTCACAGCGGCCGAAAAAAGCTCAACTCTGAGGTACTTTTCACCCTTTATATTCACTGACATGTTACTCTTGCACTCTCCACAGCAGAGGATTGTAACATCCTCTCCTGTCACCTTCCCTCAGGTGCCTAATTTAGTGCATCGTGTGCACAGTAGACATTTAGTAAAGGATATTGATGGGCAAGGAAAGCAGCCATGCAGTTTCCCCTAATTTACCAGAGGAAAAAAGGCAGTTTAAAAAAACATCCTGAAAATAAGGAAACACTTACCTTTGAAAGTTGATATGGTGTCTGAGTTGTAACATTTGGGAAAGCTTTTTTAAAAAACAACAACCCTCTGTATTAAGAAATACACCTTTTATAAGAATATTTAAATTTTTTTATTTCAGATATACAAAATGATTAGAAATTTACAACCCTCCCAATGATAACCCCATCAAGTCTACTATCCGTCTGACACTGTACATAGCTATTACAATATCACTATTTCCTATGCTGTACTTTACACCATGACTATATGTGCATACACACACACACACACACACACACACACACACATATATGCACATATATAGTTATAGTTGACATTCAATATTATATTAGTTTCAGGTATACAGCGCAGTGGTTAGGCATTTATATAATCTATGAAGTAATCTCAAGTCCAGTACCTATCTGACATCTTACATAGTCTTTACATTATTGACTGTATTCCCCATACTGTATTTGACGTCCCCATGACTATTTTGTGACTACCAAGTTGTACTTCCTTACCCCTTCACCTTTCTCACCCATTCTCTACCTCCCTCCCATCTGGCAACCATCAGTTTGTTCTCTGTATCTATAAGTCTTTCTGTTTTGTTTGCTTGTTCTGTTCTTTAGATTCACATATGAGTGAGATCATATGGTATTTGTCTTTCTCAGTCTGACTACTTTCACTTAGCATAATATTCTCTAGGTCCATCCATGTTGTTGCAAATGGTAAGATTTCATTTTTTATGGCAGAGTAATATTCCACTGTATAAATGTACCACAATTTCTTTATCCAATTGTCTATTGTTGGGCATGTTGGTTATTTCCACATCTTGGCTATTGTGAATAGCGCTGCAGTAAACATAGGGGTGCATATGTTTTTTCAAATTAAGTGTTTTGGATTTCTTTGGATAAATACCCAGGAGTGGAATTGCTGGTTCATAAGGTAGTTCTATTTTTGATTTTTTGAGGAACCTCTGTACTGTTTCACAGTGGCTGCAACAATTTGCAACCACTAGTGCACAAGGGTTCCCTTTTCTCTACATTCTCGCCATCACTTGTTTGCTGATTTATTGATGATAACCATTCTGACAGGAGTGAGGTGGTATCTCATTGTGGTTTTAACTTGCATTTCTCTGATTAGTGATGTTTAACGTGTTTTCATATGTCTATTGGCTATCTGTATGTCCTCTTTGAAGAAATGTCTATGTCCTCTGCCCATTTTTAAATTGGATTGTTTGTTTTATTGCTGTTGTATGAATTTGTTTGTTTTTTTAAATAAATTTTGGGTATTAACCTTTTATCAGATGTACCATTGGCAAATATTTTCTCCCATTTAGTAGGATGTCTTTTTGTTTTGTTGATGGTTTCCTTTGCTGTGCAAAAACTTTTTGGTTTGATATAGTCCCATTTGTTTTTTTGTTTTTTTTCTGTTTCCCTTGCCTGAGGAGATGTATTAGTGAAAATATTACTAAGGGAAATGTCTGAGAGTTTACTTCCTATATTTTCTTCTAGGAGTTTCGGTCTTACATTTAAGTCTTGAATTCATTTTGAGTTTATTCTTGTATGTGGCATAAGAAGGTGGTTGTTTCATTTTTTTTGCATGTATCTGTCCAGTTTTCCCAGCACCATTTATTGGACTGTCTTTACCCCAAAGTAAATTGTTGCTTCCTTTGTCCTAGATTAAATGACCATATAGGCATAGATTGATTTCTGGGCTCTCTATTCTGTTCCATTGATGTGTGTCTGTTTTTATGCCAATATGATGCTGTTTTGATTGCTATGGCCTTATAGTATAATTTGATATCAGGTAGCATGATACCGCCAGCTTTGTTCTTATTTCTCAGGATTGCCATGGCTATTTGGGGTCTATTATGGTTCTATATAAATTTTAGAATTATTTGTTCTAGTTCTTTGAGAACGCCATTGGTATTTTGATAGGGATTGCATTGAATCTATATATTACTTTGGGTATTATGGACATTTTAACTATATTCTTTTCATGAGTCTGGTATAGGTTTCCATTTATTTGTACCTTCTTTAATTTCTCCCTTCAATGTCATATAGCTTTCTGAGAACAGGTCTTTCACTTCCTTGGTTAAATTTATTACTAAGTATTTTTTTTTGATGCAATTGTAAACTGATGTCTTAATTTCTCTTTCTGATAGTTTGTTATTGGTGTATAGAAATGTAATTGAATGCTATCTTTTTTTATTGGTTTCAGCTGTAATAGACATTTGCACCCATCACAAAGTGATATCCCCCCCTTCCCTAATCTACTACCCTTCTGACCCAATTTCTGAATATTAATTTTGTACCCTGCTACTTTACTAAATTCGTTTATCAGTTCTAGTAGTTTTTTGGTGGAATCTTTGGCATTCTCTATATGCAATATCATGTCATCTGCGAATAATGACAATTTTACTTCTTTCTTTCCCATTTAGATGCCTTTT